ACGTACATCAGATCCCTCGCCTTGATGACTGTAATGGCGCAGATCGGCTGCTTTGTTCCTGCGCAATATGCGTCGTTCCCAATAGTCCATCAGTTATTCGCACGAGTGTCGACAGACGACAATGTCGAGGCCAACGTTTCTACCTTTTCTGCCGAGATGCGTGAAATGTCTTTTATTCTTCGCAATATAGAACCAAAGAGCATGGTAATTATCGACGAGCTCGGTCGCGGTACCAGCACCACTGACGGTCTCGCCATTGCTATCGCAATCGCTGAAGCGCTTATCGAAAGTCACGCACTGGTCTGGTTCACGACCCATTTCCATGACCTGGCCAAGATTATGGCAGAGAGGAACGGCGTTGTCAATCTACACCTTGCCGTCGACATGTCACCCTCTACTTCGAAAATGACAATGCTCTATAAAATTGCGGACGGATTCGTCAAGGACAAACACTATGGTCTCTTCCTCGCCAGACTTCTCCCGTTCCCGCAACCCATGCTGCGTAAGGCTCAAGAAGTTTCGGAAGCACTGAGTTTGAAGATCGAGAATCAACGGAAACGCTCGAAAACTCTCGCTATTGCGAAGCGGAGAAAGCTCATTCTGGACCTTAAAGAGCAGCTATTGCAAGCTCGAGAAGGCGTGTTGGAAGGTGAGGCTCTCCGAACCTGGCTGAAGAAATTGCAGCAAGAGTTCACTTTGCGAATGGTGGCACTTGATGCAGAAGTCGACACAGCAGACGACGACGAGATGGATGTGGATGAAAGTCGGGATATCCAGCCGTCAGTATCTCTTGACCTTGATCCCGGGCCGGTTCCTACTACAGAATCCGAGCCCATGACAAATCTTACAGCACCATCCGCCCACCTCTCCGCTCCTTCCTCGCAGTTGGAGAAGTCCGAGAAGTCCCCATCAATTCCGTGGTCATCATCCGTAGTGGGATGTTAGACTGTTGCCTCCGAGAAATCAGAAGCATCGGCTTTGAAAAATCCGCAAAAATTTCTGTTTGAAGAGGATGGAACTCCCCTCGAGTTTTAATGATGTGGCCACGCGCGTATCTTTATAGGATGCTATTTTCACGTATTAGCCTCGATAGATATATTGTGCAGTAATCAGGTATTGACGAACCTTTCCCCCAATTATCGGTTGTTAATTTGAATTCACAAAGAGTATGCACTATACTTACATCTTACCAATTTATGTTCACTTATCTGTGCATTTCTCTGATAATCATCATATAGCATGTATGGCGACAAATATTTTAGATTGCATGTATGTAACTACGCAGCAGCTTCCCGGAAAAATAGCCTGAAATGACCAAATGAAAATCTCCTGAGCTTCCTCGAGTAGGGGTGAACTTCGAACCGCACCGCAGTATGGAGGTGTAGAGGCGGCTGTTCGACACTTGAGTGTACACTTGGAATTTAGCCGAAGCTTTCAATACCGAGCTCAAATAATTTCGACCTTGATGAGTTATATGGCCTGGTGAGTAGTGCTCTAGACATATTTAACTTGTATATAGCTCACAAGTATAGCGATGTATGTAAAAATCAAGGGATTCAGGTGTAGCAGAGTCAAGACTTCCCATGGAGCTAGTACCACAGGTCCACAGGGACAGTACCAAGGGATGGGCATTGGCATTTCCTCCGCCAAAGGACGGCATCGAGCAAGGATTTCCTCGAAAATTGTGAAATAGCATAAATCTGACAGACGACTAGAGTTAAATACACTCTCACGTCCCAAATGGATTTCGTAGCAACAGAAAAATAATTTGCAAGTGGTCAACGGTGAAAATATTTGATTGACCCAGGCGTCTCACACAGCTACACGTCAACCTTGCCCATTCTCCTACCCAAAATGATACAACACCTGCTTCCCTTTTTTCCCTTTCCCCTTCTTGCCCCCTCCTTCGCCGCCATCCCCTGCTTCTCCTTCGTTCCCAGCCTCTGCGGGTGTAGGATTAACCCCTCCCCTCCCCCACGGCGATGGGCCCGTAGCGGCCGATGGTGCTCCCCACCGCACCGTGCCGCGCGTCAGACCGGCCATGAGCGTGTTGGGCTTCGGTGCAGCAGGTAGCGCCGGAAAGGCGTCCGCATTAGCGCCTCGTGCGATGGGAGCTGCAATCGCTGCGGTTTTGGGACCCGCTGATGGAGAAGGGCGGGAAGGGGCTGGCGAACTCCCTCCCGAACGTGACGGGGGTGTCACTGTTGACCAGGGTGACGCTGATGGGCGTGCTTTCCTGCCGCCAGGAGGTCCACCAAGGGGCGGGAATGGGTTGCTGCTGCTACCGTTTGATATTCCTCCGAGACCTCCGCTGCGTCCAACCGCTGAGCGCGAAGATTGTGCCGTCGATGATTTTAGGCGTAGCACGCGCTTTCCACCGCCGCTGGCACTTGCACCGGTACTTGATAGTACTCCGTTGGGCCCGGGTAGAGCGGGGTAGTCTTCATTGATGGCGCGCCAGTCGTTCCAGGCTTTGAGGAGGGCGCTGCGCTTTGACTCATCATCGTAGAGCTCGGCGAGCTCCTTTATGAGCTTGCCTAGCTCGCCGGATGAGGTGTCGAAGAGTGAAAAGAACGATTCTATTAGGTATGCGGCGCTGATGGCACCGGTGCGGTAGGAAGATACTTTATCGCGGAAATCGGAGACTTTTACGGGGTCGTTGCGTAGGAGGGAGACGGCGCGGTCCATTACAGCGCCATGTGCAATTTGGAGGGCGTGTTCTCGAGGAGTTGAGGGGGGCGCACTTGGGCGGCCAAGATTTAGGCTTTCCATAGCAGGACGAAGACCTGCTTGAGTGGGGGGAGGAGGAGGAGGAGGAGGAGGAGCGGTTGATTGAGTCGGTACGCGAACTGTCTGGGCACCGCTCGGCGTGAGCTGACCGCCAAATGTCCTGCTCGTGACGGACTGAGCGCTCTGGATGGCCATTTGTCTTTGATAAGCCAACTCGTCTCGTCTCAAAGGTTGAGCGCTGGATGCAGGGAGAGGTTCTGCGTTAGGATCACGCCCTCTTCCTGCACCTCGCCCCTCTCTCCCGCCTCTCTGTGGCTGGTAGGGAGTTCTGTAATCGAAACTAGATAAATCGACTGTTCTCGCATCTCTTCTTGCATCCTTGGAGAGGCCGGCTGGGTGGCACTCCAGCTGGTGAGCTTTTAAATCCATTTGTGACTCGAAGACTACAAACTTCTTCTCCAAGCACTCCTTGTCAAGGCAAAGGAAGTGGTCCTTGTTGAAATGCTCCTCTAGGGAATTATAGTTGATGAAATACTGTTGCTGCCGGTTTCCATTACGCCGGTCACATATATGGCATCGCTCGTGCTTATCCCGACAGTGCGTGTAGAGTTCATCGTCCCCGTAGAATCTCTGTCGGCAAAAACCGCATTCTGGGTGGCCTTTGAAGCCGCTTTGATCAACAGCGCCAGGGTTATCATCTCCATATCTCTCATGTTTCCGAAGTTGGGTCATTGAGAAGAGCTCGTGCTCATGAGTAAACACCTTCTTATTTCGAGTACATAAATCACTATTTCCTGTTAGCGGAGGGGTCGAAGAAAATTGAATATTTAAAATTTTTAGCGGGATAAAGTCTGTACGTACCACATAACCTTCTGATGCTGACTCTTTACATGGCGATGAAGATCCGGCCATCCCAGACATGCGACATCACATTCGCTATCGGGGCAGTTATACCGCAGGAGCAAAACCGTATCTTCGAAAATATCGTTCGTCTCATACTTAATTCCCAAGTTATCATCTGTACGTATGAAATCACTGTCTCTGAAATCCTCGAATTTTTTCACTGGATCATCGGTAAAAATTACGGAGGGCCACTCGGTCTACTCAAAAGGCAGCACGTTAACACTTGACAACCCTAGGGTTTCTCACTTGATTGTAAAATCCGAGAACAAGAGGCCTCTCAAACACATACCCGACAGTGTGCGCACGCCTTAGTTTTATACAAGGCCCTCAATCGCAAAGCACAAATATGACATGTTCGATGGTTACAAGGGGCGACGGCAGTATGAGCGATGTTCGACGCACAGATAAAGCACACTTCGCCGGTATCCGCGTCCTCGCCCGTCGTGGCAGCTGCAGTCACAGCCGCTCCCTCGCCCTCAGCACGTTTGGCATCTCCGGTCAGGCGATCACCGGAGGTGCCTCCGCTCCGAGGATCTGAGTCGGGTGGTTCGCCTCCATAGTCACCATCGGTGGGTTGGCCTGGTCGGATCGTAGAATGTCCTGCTACTTGTGGTCTTGTCTGCCCTCTTCCGTCCGGTACAACACCTCGTGCGCCCCGTGCACCTCTCCCTCCTCCGCCTCTGCCGCCGCCCCTTCCACGGCGCTGTTGGCCATCTGTATGCGGGTTCGGAAGCGCGCCGCCACGACCTCGTCTTCGGTTGCCTCGGGTTGGATTTTGGTCCCGTTGTGGAGCAGAGGTAGGTGGAGTATTAGCGGATATATTAGCCATATTGACTGTGACTGTGATTGTTGTTCAATTCACTTGGGAGTAAGGGAAGAATTTCCGCACGCAGACACTTCGCTGCGGGGACCCGATTTCTGGTGATTATGCCTATGTGCTAAATTATGAAGAAAGGAATGCCTGCTGTATAACCCGAATAAGAGTTACCGGAAGAGGAAAAAGAATATAATAGAGCAATAAAAGAGCAGAATGTAGTGGACTATGTGCAGTCGGTGGTTGTAGTAGTTATGTAAAAAATATCTGGATGGAGGCTCAATTCTGATTATGTAATAATACATTATTCCGTATATACAGCCGAGGCGCTGGCTATGAGAGTATAATTTACCGTATTGCGATACCACAACTCCGAATTATTATTACTCAGGCTCCAACACAGTCACTTCAGCAATATCAACCCTTGGAAATGCAAAAGAAGAGACGGTGATCTTAAGGCATTAAATCATCTGAGTCATTGAGGTGGCGTGTACATCAGGCAGCCCTTCGTCATACAATTGGAGTCACGAACAATAACAAGTGCCACTCACTCTCACGCATCCTTCTTCGCCTTGTTTGCCGCCGCCCTCTGCATCAAATCCAGCAACTTCACCGTCCTCTGGCTATCCAGAAACTCCACAGACTTGATAAGCTTTTCCCCCGTCTCATCCATCCACAGCAGAAACACATACTCCCCCCCATATGCCCACTCCGCCTCAGATACCCCGTCGTCCTTCCCCTCGTCGCGGAACATCGCACGGCTCCTCGCCCACACTGTGACTTGGTTACTGCTGTCGCTCTCAATGTACTCCTTCACCGTCAATGGGAAGCTGCTCATGACGGCATGGAGTTGGGCAACGTGTTCCAGTATGCCCTTTTTGTCGAAGGGCCAGGTGGGTTCAGTGACGCTGGCGCGAATTGGTGGACGAAGTTTTCTGCCAGGATGACTTCATACCTTTCTGCCCGAAAGTGTGTTGAAGTTGGCAATGAAATTTTGAGCAGCTTCTAGACGCTTGGATGGCGGGGCGATGGTGGCTGCTGCCGATGATGATGATGCGCGGGATAGAGTAGTAATCAGGTAGGGCACATGGGATGAGGTGCAATAAGTAACTATGTATTGATGAGGTTAATGTTCTAAGGGAGAGAAGTTCGTGATAGAGAACAGCTTCTTTCGAATAGACCTTTATATGATGCCCGTGAAGGCGGGGTAATCTTTAAACCTGATACATCGCAGAACTTTCCGAAGCGATATCAAGGTCAGCATCGGGTTCCGCCTGCCTGAGATTTGACATGTAGATTATGCTTCGCGCATCTTTTATTAGTAATTTCATCTCGCAGGTGCCGGGAACTAATACTCTGGGGTTTCGGATGTAAGCAGCCTTGGATTCGGGCTTTGTCAAAGTCCAGATTATTAATTCCGAGAACTTATTGAGGATCAACAGACTCCCAGAATGACCAGAACGACGCGGGTTCAGGTCGACCGGGTACTTTCCAAGTAGTCAGTGGAGATAGCTTTGGACTAACGCTTGACGGCATTTCCCTACTCATCTTCGTTATCTTGCCGAATGCACAGCGTCAGCTTAGACCTATATAAAGTATAAATCATTAGTGACTACAAATAGCATATATCTATTTATGTACATAAAAATAAGAAAGAATTCCCGGGTAGCGAGCCAATAAGCTCAGTTAAAACAGAAACCAAGAACCCCGAATCACATAATCCCGTGGTATATAATATATATATGGACAAAAAAGAGCAAAAAACTCAAAAGTCATCACATTCTCCTATCCCGCGAGTAAATATCCCTTGCTCATAGCTTAGTAAAATATCTTCTCCTGCCATATCGGCGGCTGGCTCTTCACCTGATCCCACTTCACCTTATTCCTCTCATCCAAATGAGCCTCCTCATCCGTCATCGGTATCACACGACTCGTCAACTCCACTTCACGCTGGCTAATCCCGCCCGCATCGCGCGGCACCCACAGTAGCGGCGTCGGACTCCACACCGACGGCGGGTAATATGCATTGTCCGCTACTTCGTCCGTGTACTCAACGGGCGTACCCTGCCGGATCCGCTTGCGTAGCGTCGCGTAGTCGATGTAGATATGGGGCTCTACGATTGAGTGGATGAAGTAGGAGAATTTCCGCAGGATGGCGTGGAGGGCGTTGGGCCTGTGATGTGGGAAAACAGGCGTTTCAGCCGAAGTCCCTGCTCGGGTGATCTCGGCGAGGGTTATGGTTGTTTGTGTTGAGCTCTTTAGTTTGTAGGCGGAGATTGGGCTGGGGATTTCGTTGCTGGCGCTTTCTGGGCTAACAGGTGGTTTCTCACCTGTTGTGCCGTCGTGGGAGTTGCTTGAACTGTCATCCTGCTCACCAAAACTCCCATCGTCATCGTCATGGGCGTCGTTGTCGCCTAGCATTTCAGCTTGCTCGAGGGTCCGGGGAAGTGCGGAGAGTAGGGGGCGCAATGCATCATTCAGGGATATGTGCGCTAGAATCGTGAGAATGATGAAGAGGACCATCATAATCACTGGCCCTATAGCGCCCTTAATGGCGAACAGGCCAATCATACACACAGAGGAGAGATATACACCTGTCAATACTTGCTGCAGGGCACGCGGGTAGATCAGGCCCTTGGTATCGACATCAGAGTCGTACACGAAAAGCAAGTTGTAACGGTAGGCTTGGTAGACTAGGTATAAGCCGAACGAGGAGAATCCGAGAATAAGAGGTGCGATGCAGGAGTAGGTAATGGCTACAATTGATTAGATATATGGGCGAAACTTATAGTGGTCATGCATAGGGGGTTTGGTTCGCAGGTCGCTCGAATACACTTACCGATCACGACCATGTTTGTGAACACCGGAAAGACGGTAGCCCAGCGCAACCCATTCATTGATGTCCATCGTTCGTAGAGTTTGCGCGGAGTGGTGTCAAAGAACGCAACGAAGATCTTGAAAATGACGAATCCCAGCACCTGCACTACCGCACCAGCACTCAGGACTAGACCCTGAAGAAGGAAGTATGAAATATAGAAATTTGAAGCTTTCGGGAGATTCTTTGCGAGTAAATCTTTGGCTGACATGGGATCCTTGATAATTTGGCTTGTTGCGGCTGAAGCTGCGGAGGTCAACGTGGTAACAAGAAATACCTGCACCACCTGGAAACAGAAGTGGGCGTTCTGCGTAAACAATTCTACATGAACAGTAGTTGGAAGTCCAGTTTGCCGCGCGAGAACTACAGTTAAATCAGAGTTAGGTGCGTCTTATGTCGGGAAAGGGGGTGAACAATAAACGTACATCTCAACAAAATCGGCACCAATGCCATCAGCAACGCAAGACCTACAGCGGGGAGTAAACCACTGATAACGCCCTTAATTACTTCGGGAAGTTCGTTAATAAACCCAAGGAATGGCAGGAGATTGCTCAGATACGCCACATTCGATATCATTCCGACGAAGGCAGAAGGAATCGACCAGAATATAATCAGGGCAGTAATAGCCGCCTGGATCAAGAATTTCCGCACAATTCTTTGCCACCAGCTGTATTGCAAGGCAGGCCAGATAATTTCCTGCGGCGTAATTCCGATATAGCGGGGTGTCATTTGAAACGGTTGATGGTGTGAGAGCATTTGATAGGCGGTTTGGGCGGCCGCTTGGGAATCGAATTCGATAAACACAGCTGGAATTGACTTCGCGTCTCCATCTCGATGTTTCTTTTGCAGCTTCTCGACTTTAGGAAGCACCTTTTCAAGCTCGGACCGTAGCCATTCTATGGTATCAACTTTTTCGCCAGTGAAATAACGTAGGCGATGAGTCGGTCGTTTTACTCTCTTCGCCCATGGGATAGAATCAAGATCGCAAGCCATGCCGTCAGGGTTAGGTCCAGTATCAACTACGCATTCTTCATCCCTTTTCTGTTTTTTCATCGCTTTAGATCTTGCGGAATTCGCAGATTTGATCAAGTCCGTTTCCAGACTCTCCAGCTTCAAAGCCAACTCGTCCCTCTCTTTGACTCGTTCATCTAGCTTTTTGCAGTCTGTCGTAATCCAGATACGCCTGATAGACTTTCCAAAAACCTTTGCCATCTTAGACTTGGTGAGAAGGGTTTGGGGGACTGCCATGAATAAGACAGTCCTCGACGAGATACGGCTAGCATATAGAGGCGAGAGAAAATATGCTTGTCGAAGCGTAGCATAGAACATGCTTTCTCGGGTTACCATGTAGAATATGAAACCTGTGACAACTTAGTCCACTACATCAAATTTTCTTTCCAGGCACAGGATGGGACACACTGAAGAACATCCAAGCGACAAAAACATGCGCATAATATCGATTAGGATCTTTCACATTACTGAAACTCAATGCATCAAGTTGAGTATTTCCCGCTCCCCCGGTGGCATGGATAGGAAACAAAATGGGCCAAACGACAAGGCATCCCACGAAACATGTCACTGACATAAGCCGGAGGAACCGTAGGAAAAAGTATCCATCCAAAGATGAATGCTGAAGCACATAGGTGTCTGACAGGTTGAAGAAGGCACCGATCCAATTGACCCAACCTGAAGGTAGTTCCGGGCTCCGTTCACTGGGGACAGGTTATGAGGTTGGTCATAAAAAGGCAGTAGTAGCCCGGGAAGGAAGAAAATGCTTACTGTTCATGGATATTGCCCAAGTATGATCTGGGGGCATAGAAGCGCTGTTGACTCCGTCGACAGATAATAAAAACCGCAGTCCAAAGGGTAAAAAGCACAAACGCAGGAACAAAAGTCGTCAGCAGAGCTGCGGCAGAGGTAGAGGTATCCACGCCGAGTGAGCCAAGTGTCACGTCTATAGTTGACTGGTTTTCCCCGCGAGACGACCCGATATTTGGATCATTGTTTGGATCCTAGAGGAACTCATCAGCTTTTATGAAAGGTCTAACGCCCTCAACAGGTCTTTCTAAACGAAAGATAAGACTGACCAGCAATTCTGACATTGTTCCTACGCATTGGGAGCAAGCCTCGGTTTGGAAGAGGCAAGTGTCTGGCTAAAATCCAAGGATGGCGATGGATAGTGAAATCGTGCAGAAATAACAACATTCGCCCCACAAAAATGGGCTGGTTACTCCGTACTCCGTAGAGCCCCTCGAATTCAATGATGGTTAAAAAGTTTTCTGCCACTGGAGAAAAATAGAGCGGAGCTCTTGGAAAATAAGAATATTCCCCTGACAGGGCTTAGGAAAAACCGGCTCGTTCGTTCTCCCTCGGTAGCCCGGGTGTGGAGTGGACACTGCTCGCCCTCCGCTGCTGCAAGGCAGCAAGGGTGATAGAAGCTGGGGGAGACAAATAGGAATGTGAGCCGTCATATTTCCAAAAATTTGAGCTGTTGCCAGCGTCTTTGGGGTTGATTGGCGCGTTCTCCCAGCGGACAGCGCGCGGGGCACACCAGCTTAATTCCCAAGTGGCGCAAGGTTCTCTGCCGGATAGACTTTAGTCGGCGCGACTGTAAGGTGCGAAAAAGAGATCCATCTACAAATCAGCGTGGAATATTATCCACAGGCGACGGGCCCACGACTTGCTGTCTGCAGCTGGTGTCATCTGGCACGGGCTGGCAAGACGAGACAAGTTGACGTGATTCGGAGTTCCACAATTAGTTTTGAGCTCGATATGCGACTATTGGAAATCTCTGGCTACCCACCGAGAGCTAGCGAGGGTAACATATCATATCGGGTTCGGAGAATTCTCGCGGTCTGTAATTGAGGACATACCAAAAATATCAGCTGGGGGGTAGTTGTTTCCATAGTGTACTGCGTACTTTGCTCCGATGAGGAAAGTCATCATCATGATGCGAAAGGATGCGAAGAATTACGGCCTTGCATCATGTACCTACCTACTGCGTAAATACTTCCTGGTTCTGGTCGAAAACGTTTGGGAAACGTCTGTGCTTGTTCTCACGAGTCACGGCTTTGCCGATCCCCGCAAAAGGCGCAAAGGGACAGGAGAACTTAGCTGCATGAAGATAGATGACGTCTCATTGCTAACATTATTTCCATTACGCAGTAAGAAACGCCAGCCCAGTTCGTAACCGTTTCTCTGTCAACTTAAAAGTCGAAGATGAAAATAACGTTAACATTTGCGTAAAACATCCGTCGATGTTTTGAATGGAGAAAAATAACAGCGCTTCTGCTAGCTCCAATCTGGCGCGCCGATAATTTTGAATATCAGGGCCATTGACCAGTCAGCGATTGAGATCTTGCATCGGGATAGGGGCTGTTCGTCCCAGGAGCTCGGCGAGGGCTGGCTGAAAGTCCCCCTTCGCTCCATCTCAAGAGCTGGTTTTTCTTGGGGCTGACAGGGCTTTGACTAGCTTCTCCAACTGTCAGCATCAACAGGACTCGAGGAGATGCTCCATGATCGGCAATTCCATCAGCCACAAATGTCTCAATCAAGACCACCGAGAACGCATATCATGAATGTCGGAAGGGCTCTCTAAACTTCCAGCTCGGAGGCTCCAACTATGTATCCTTCTGTGCCGTCATAAATCATCAAATCGTGAGAGCTTCCGGGGTTGATTCCTTGCTCATTCTACCCTCTTCAGGACGGTCTCAACCTGGTGAGAAACTATATATGTAACTGCGAGATAAGTGTGTATACTTGACACAAAGTTTTGAGCAAGCTTATCGTGCAGCGTCACACCGACTCAAGAAAAAATTCCGGTCCCGAAAATTGATTTCTTTAATGTGTATATTCTCAGAGAATGTGATTTGAGTATTTTATAGAGCTCAAATCATCTAGGTTGAAACTTCTCAGAACTCTCATTGTGTATGAGAACTCATGTTCTTATCTTGAAACTTGATTTCTTAACTAGTGAGTCTTGTATTCTTTTTAATTGAATTGCTCAGTTCAGAAGTAACTCATTAGCTTTTACACATGTGTGACTGATTTCTTTCAATCTTGATTTTATATCTGCAACTGCTGCATCTGTAACTGCTGTTTTCTTTCTCATCTTTCCTGAAGCATTCTTCAGAATGCGTGAATACAATTCATACAACAGATAGAATGATGAAGGCTTGAAGACTGTATGCTGTTAAATTCGCATGACTAATAACACCTGACTGAGATATTCATCTCATAATCTCATAGACTTACTCATTAGATATTTCATCAGCATGTTGCTCAGAATTCTATTCAAGCATTTCATCTTTCTATTTATTCATAAATAGTATGATATTGTTCTACAATATCTTATCTGTAACTGACTTATGAAATATCTCATCACTTCTTCTATGAGATTTGCACTGTTATCAGTTAGAATCTCATGTAATATTTCATAGTTGATATAAATCTCATTGTGTAGAAACTTTATCACTATCTTCTCTATTATCTCTGAAACTGCTTTCACAACTGATCAGTCAGTAGTGTAGTTAATAGCAGTGATTATTCAATAATTTTCATTTGATATTTGTAGTAGTATGTCTATGAGATTCATTCTTATATTATTTAAACAGTTGTATCATACATTTTATCTAATATTATGCTTTCTCATGTTCTAATTCTCTCTTAGATTTCTTTATAACCTGACAATTCAGGCATCTGTAAGTATATATCTGCATGTTCTCAGTCATGCTTGATCAGTACACTCTTGATTCAAGTATACTCATGAGTTCAGAGCTTTCTAAGTGACTGAATTCCTTATACATTTAAGTCATCAAGTTGTGTCTAAATGAATGTTTCAGATAGAGAGCTTTTACATATTCTAGATCATGAGAAAGTATAACATTATTTTCGGAAGGCATGCATTCCTTTTCGGTCGGCCATCTTACCTTTTAGACTTTCGATATTCAGATGTCCAGTTCCAATGCCGGAGTGCCAGCAATCCTGCTCGCACTCTTCGCTCATTGCGGGGTGCCATTGTGCCGAATGTGGCCTCGCATTAGTCTGTGCATGGGTTTCCGATCTGGCGCAACGGTGACTGTCTCTTCTGGACAATCATTGGCGAGAGGAAAATCGTACAGCCCTCGATTTCTTTCATTCTACGGAGTACTCCATCCATAAACCACCCATTCCGTCGGGAGCCGGTCTTGCGGCCTGCGTTGGTAATGTCCAGTACTCAGAGCACATACATAGTTTGCACTCCCTTTGCTCCTCTTCAACGGCTAGTTCGGGCGCCTGTCTGGGGGGCGCTTTTCGGTCCGTTTCGTCGATGCTTGCTGTGGTGGGATATCCAAACATCGAGAATATCCTAAAGCACCTGAAGTATCCGACAGAGGCATGGAGAATCCATCATCTGAGCCAGCAAGTTGAACTCTCTGAAATATCTTAGCCTTCAACTGCTAATTGGGATCCGGAGGTTGGCTGGGCGTTTCTTTATCCATTACTGATAGAGAAGGTTTGGGCTGGCTGATCAGACTACTATACACACACACGCACACGTTCTCATGTTGCCATCGTCTGTATCGCGCGCGCAGGTCTCACCTCCATGCCCACACATGAATGGTTTGATGCACCAGCATCTGCAGAAGTTCGACTGTTCGTGAACTGGTTTGGCTGTAATAAAGCTGGTCCTTGAAGAGCGTAACCTGAACTTCTAGGCTCTTCATTCGTGCGCTCCTCTTCCCAAAATTCCTGATTCACCTCATATTTGGATAGCAGTACTGTGCTGGTTGTGGTTGGCCCTGGTGGACACATTTTTGTGTCTCTACGTCGCATTGGCGTCAATTGGATACACGCAATCTGTGAATGATTTGGTGAGTGAGGTAGTAAATCCTATTCTCGATACATCTTTCTTGCTGTACCAATTCTGTTCGCCTCCATTCATATGTACCATACCGGAGGATCATATTGCGGTTTTTGACTTTCTTTCACAGATCGCCTCATTGAATAGGTTGAAACAATAAGCCCTTGTCTTGTGTTCTATGTCTGCGACATTTGGTAGAAGTGATTGATAATGAACATGTTCAGTACCCTTCTACACCCATATTGGACACCTTTATTCACAGAGGATCCCCGATTCCCCTTTGATTATTCATGGACTACGTTTCCCGAAAAAGTAGGATTCACACATTCACTTTTACCATCCATGCGATGATGGCCAATATATTTGCTTTCTCATCAGCCAATTCCCTTCTCCAACATTTTTGAGAGTTGATAAATATCTGGCTACGCACAAAGTTTCTTCACTTGGACATCTATGATGCATATTGATACGTGATATGGCCGCTGGTGGACAAAAAAAAAAAAGCCAGGAAACAGCTTCTATACCAGCTCTCCCTAAACCCTATCGCCTTACTATATACGTCTATCGCATTTCACACACTGTCCTTTGTGCCCCCTTTCATGATCATCCCAACAAGTGCAGCAAGCCCCTCACTACCCTTGCCTTCCTCAACCCTCCTCTCAATCAACTTGAAAATAGGCTGAATAAGTTCCACCGAAACACCCTGGGCTTGACTCGCCTCCAATATATTTGGCGCAGCCTTCGCCTGCATGTCCAAACTCGACCCGCCATCCCCGTAATCCTTCTCATCCACCTGCGTCGCCAACAGATTCAAATGCTGCGTCATCGCAGTCAGCCAGGGAATGAGCTGCGTCGCAACAAATCCTGCCGCAGGAATGTTGGCGGACTGCACCAACGCCACGGCGTGCGTGAAGCCGCTGAACAGGCCGTACATGCCACTCAGAAGAGCCAGGTCGTGCAGCGAGGCAAGCCCCACGTCCTCGCCGACGTATGTGTTGGTGCCCAGCACGGAGAGGGTATCCTTTACCCCCTCGAACACCGCCGCTGGTCCGCTGTAGAGGATCATGGCATCAGGCTGGCCGATCATGAATGGTACGGCCATGATTCCGCCGTGGATGTATCGAGCCCCGTGCGCGAGAGCCCAGTCCGCCGTCTCTCTGGCGTGGGCTGGTGTGCCGTTTGTAAGGTCAACAATTGTCTTTGCGGCCCATGCCGTTGGGGCTTGTTGGAGGGTTTGCATGACGGAGGCTTTATCCAGTT